TACACACACACCTCTCTAGATTTTTTTTTATCTCTGTACTTTGATTTGATTCATGCTTAAGTGCATTTTTGTTCTTTGTCTTTGTTTTAGTAAGGGAGCCGCTTCTTTGTCTCGTTATTATGCTCCCAAGCTACCCCAGCTTGCCCCTGTGCCACCTTCATTCCCCACCATAACCACTCAGAGCCCACCCTCCCACAGCAGCCTGTTGTCCAGCCTCAGCAGCCCAGGTGTGAAAATCCACACATGCACATTTTACGACACTCTGCTTTTAATGCATTAGCTTGATGAGCATTCAGTCTGTCTGTGAGGAATTCTGTTCATCTTATTAAAATAAACAACTCAACCCAAATTGCATACAAAGGTGTTAAAGATCGCATCACCCTTCAGCTGAGCTGTGATGTTAGCAAGCTCTGTGCCCTTTTGTTTTGCACATTACACATTTGCCTAATAAGCGACATCCAGTGCAAAAATAAATATACATAATCATTAAAAAGAAATCAAACATGCAGACCTTCCCACTGTGGCGAGCCCTTGTGTATAAGTGAACAGCTGAAAGTAGCATTGGAAAGAAAATAGGTCCTACATAAAACTGCTCATAACAAGGTTTTTGAATTTTTACTTTAGTTTTGTTTGATTAAACAGACAAAGCTGTTAAGTTTTTTTTTGCAATGTGAAGACCATCTCGTTCCATTGATGAAAAGGGAAACATCACAACAAAACAATCTAGATGGATACATAAGTCTAAAGGTCAGAGGAAAATTTATAAACTTGGATTTGGGACTAAGTTTCCCTTCAACCTGAATTATCATTCGTTTGTGAGGTGCTGATGAATGATTACAATCAGAATACTTTATTAATCCCAAAGGAAATGATCTCAAACCGGACCAGCTTAAATTCTTTGATGTCTGGATGATCAAGCAGCGATGCAGTCACCCCACCTCCACCATGGCTGAAAAATTTTGTTACATTTGCTTAGGACCCTCTGTTAACATTAGTTATTTTTACTGGAAGAGAGGCGGACAAAGCTTGTCCACCAAAACTTTTTCAGTTGTAGGGTCGGTTATGTAAAGTAGCAGCAAATTTGACCTCGATAAAATTTGTGGCTTTTATGGCATTACAAACATAGCTTTTTAACGGATTTTCCTACATATGAGGAAGTGTTTATAGAAGAATGACATCTTTGTTCAGCTCAGCGAACCTTCACACTGCAGGGTGAGATAGTAAAATTACACAGAAACCAAACTACAGTATCTCTGTCTAATCTTACTTTGTAATTGCTTGGTTTTTATCTGTTAGGTGAAAGCAGAGTGAGGGATACAGGCCAGCAACAGCTTTCATCTCAGGAGGGTTTGGTGGAGTATCCCCCCCGTCCCATGCAGAGCCCTCCCCCTCTGCGGCGAGCCAGCCTTCCTCTTTTCACCTCGACCTTTAACTCTGCAAACCCCACTCCCCCTCTCCTCAACACACCAGCCCACACCCCACCCCTCTTCCTGGATGCTCTGGAGGGTGGCTCTACCTTGGCCCACCGTGAGACCCAGTCTCTGCCGACTGACACCAGGTCAGCTCCACTCACAGCAAACTGTGACATGAATACTAGAGGATGCTTCAAATATGGATGAGTATAAGAGCTGACAGCAGGGCAGAGAGGGAATCTGTGAAATACTGATGCAGTGATGGCTCACACAGTGTCTGTAGTAGCAGGGAGTCAGTTTTAGCTAAAATATGCTGTGCGAGATTGCACTTAGTCACTTTGTTCTTATACAATTATGGTTGTATGACTATAGATGTGTGACAGCACTAAAACTTCTACTTTGTAGATACGGTTGGCAGTATCTGTGCATGTTCAGTAACGCAGATGCACTGCATAGAGATAGTGGCAGAAACCTCATAAATAATGTGACACCTGAGAATAAAACTCTGATTGTGTCTGTCTGGCTCGATATCACTAGAAGTAATCATAAGTGCAACCACAACCTACAGAGGACTAATAATCAAAGATGTTCATGTTTGTCACTAAATTCTTGTTTGTGTTGTCCTCAGTTTGCTCTTTGACTTGGACTACCTGACGTCTAGCCAGCAGAGCAACACTCTGTCTTACCAGCTCCAGACCTCCTACCCCACCAGCCAGCCTCAGCTCCAACCTCAAGCATCTCTGCCCCGCATGACCTACCTCACACCATCCCCCTACCTCACCCCTAACCCTCCAGAGTCTAATCCTACTTCCTACCTGACTTTTGGCCCTGGAGGAAACTCGACAGGAGTGGTGACCTATTCCACCACGGGTCATGCCTACTTTCAGTCCCAGAGTGCAGGTCAAATCCTACTGCAGTCATCTGGTCACCACGGTGAGTCACTGGGGTAAAATGAGATTGCATTAATTTATGTATTGGAAAAAATATGAAATTTTACTCTGACAAAAGATCCTATAGGATCAAATGGAAAGTAAAAACTATACACCCTACATCAGTGTAAACTAACCCAGAAGTCAAAAGAAAGTTTGACTTGGTGCTTTCTATGTAAACAGATGTTTGCACCATCATTGAACAAGGATTCAGATTTTCAATAATTATTTTTAATCTTGTATTATACATTGCTCTCATCACTGTCATATCATCAGCTTTAGTCACCATTCAGTCAGTGGTGCAAATTAGAAAGATCAGAAGCTTTGTAGTTGGATGTTTAAATCACATGGTGATTTAATAAGGAAATGTATAGGTCAGCATTGATTAATAAGACAAAAGGGAGTCATGTTGAGGGCACAGGAAAAACATTAGAATTAAATGGTATGCAGATACTCTTGGCATTCTTAGTCTTATGACGGGTGAAGTGTTTGAGGTTTCAATTACTGCCACTGAAGCTGAATTTTCAGTCTGTTTGGATCTGTGTGTGTTTTCCATTCAGCTGGGATTACAGCGTACCAGTCTTACCCATGGGGCAACATGTACAGTCAGCCAGCCATGCACCAGCGTACTCAGTGCCCTCCTGCTTACCCTGGCAGCTTGGGACCCGGTCGAGAGCACCAGCCTACCTCTTCCACCACCCTCCCTCTTCCTTCGTTCTTCCCTGGGGAGGACCAGGAGTCGTTGCATGCAAATTCCCAGAATCCTTCACTCAACCAGACTTTCACAAGCAGCACCACCAGCACCACCACCGTCCTGCCACCTGTGTCAACGCTGCGGCACTCTTGCCTCAGGGTGGAGGATACTCCAGCCAGGGAGTCATTGCTAATGCCCTCGCAGGTCAACACGGCCTCTCCAGAAAGCCCTGCAGTGCCCTCTTGTGTCAAACTTGAGTATGACAGTCCTAGAGAGATCCACAGCCACTTCCACTGCGACTTTTCTCCCATACATTTTTGACTTTAAGTGTGTGTGAGCGTGTGTGCAAGCGTGTTTCAACTGTCTATGTAAATATAATATGTGTGAATTTCTAAATTTCCTGTTTTTCTTACTATTAGGATGTTCTCAGCTGAAATGTGAAAGCCACAAGGCTTTAGTTTGCTGGCTGCAATAAATGCTCATTGCGCTGTTAATCCTTTATTTCTGCCTTTAACTTGCTTTTATAACATAAAACAACAATTGAAGCATATTTTGTTTTTGTCTTAGGACAGTTTGTTTTTGCTCAAATTGTAGCTTATTTCAGGTACCTCAGAAAAGATATCTTGGTACCAGTTTAGAAATCAGAACGAGATGTGAAGAAACACTACACTGAAAAATAACATCACTGAGTCTGTATTTTTTAAATTGGCTAAAGAATTAATCAGGGACATTCAAGTCTGGCTTCAGTCACATGTTCTGCTAAAATATGGTGATAGAAATGTTGCACAAATGTAACCTGCTACATTTCAGAGGAACAACCCCCCCACCACGCTGTTCAATAAAGACACAAATATACTATAATATCCTTAGAGTTATAAAGAAGTTATAAATATATATGTAGTCCTGTTGCTTTTTTGTTTTTGAATGTTAGGGCTTTAAAATGTTTCTGGTTCCAGTGTCTCTGTGATTCGGTTAAACTGGATAAAGAATTTGTTAACATTTGTCAGTCCTGCTGTGGTCACCCATAAGTAGAAGCTGATTTATAAACTGATAATATGAGGTGTGATCATAATGGTCCACAACTCTGGCCATCAAGATGAAGGTCATGGTCATATTTTATTTATTTATTTTTTTTAAAGACTGGTGGATCTCCCCTTTAAGGTTTTCTCCCCGTGCACTTCTAAACTGTTCCCAGTGATGCTTCTAATTTTAGATCAATCCTGCTTTGCACGCTGGATTTTATCCACTGTGTCGAAACTGAGATTTTGATCTAAAGTTTCATATCAGAAGAGGACTGGTGGTGAAAGCAGATTCTGTTTGTGTGGTCCAGGTAGTTCACATCCCTTGTTTTGGGATCCTCTAATTTAAATGAGGGGTTTTTGTCCGGTTTGATTCATGCTTGATTTAATCCTATGTTGGTGGTTTTTAGTGTGAGACAACCATGTGCCAGTATCTGTAGCATTAAAGATGCAGTTTTTCAAATGTTCCTCTGCTGGGGAGGAGAGTGGATTTGACTGACAGTCTGTAATCTGATGGAGGAAGATCACGACAGTGGATTTTAGAGCAGAGTTACTCCAGACAATTACTAATACAGCCCAAAGCCTTAATCTGTGTTGCCATCTGCTGTGTTCTCACACTTACTGCACTCGCACACCGTTTATCTTTAGTATGCAAGTGAGTAACCGAGGCTTGTGGAAACCAAATCCCTATATGAAATCACACCTCTGAAAGAGCTGAAGGCTTTTTCCTAAGACTAAAAAAGACGTTTGGGAGCAATGTGACATTTTCTTGTTCTCTGTAAAATCAAAGGTTTCCTGTTTTAACTCTAGTTAATATTCCTGGTTCGTACTCCTGCTGTTTGTAAAGTTTGAAGTACAGCTTGGAATGGTGTGGGAGTAAGAGAAGGAGATATGATGAGAGCAAAGAGGAGGTGGCAGGGACTGAGGGAGCAGATAAAGGACGGGGGAGATGGAGGGACTGAGGCAATCTGCTGGTCTGGGAACAAGGGAGGAGAGCTGAGATGAGCTGTTGCTATGGGAGGAGAAGAGGATGATGGGTGGGCTCTGCCAGTAGGCGTGGGAGGGAAAGAAGATGGGGATGAAGGAGAAGTGTGTTTGTAGCACGGGGAGGGGGTTCTGGGATGAACAGAACTGTTGGTTATGTAAGCTCTGTATTTGGTTTTTAATGAACCTCTCTCTTCCTGCTCACTGGCTACTGAGCTGTTACTGTTGGCAGGAGACGAGCAGCATAAACACACACGCACTCGCGCACATACACAAAAACTTCATTTGCAGTGCAGAAATTTCTTGCATAAGAAGGCACGCACAGAACTTTATTTTGTGAAGAAGTGAGGGCTCTCTTCAAACTCACGGAAGAAATTTTTTTACTCTGGCTGAAGTCTGATACTGATTGGCTCTTTTTTTGTGTAGTACTCGTGCTATTTACATAATTTCAGAGTCCTTCATGTATCACTGAGCTTACACATGTGACTGAGGAGCGCTTCATGTCGGGTTACTCTGTAGTTATTTTTTCCAGGACTTCCCTCGTGTGAACAGAGAGCGCTCAGAGCACAGCTGGAGAGGCACGACTGTGTGTGTGTGTGTGCGTGTGCAGATATGTGCATACGTGTGTGAGCACAGGTTTGGGATGCTTCTCTCCAGCCCGATCCCACCGTGTCAATATTTACTCAGTATTCTGAGATTTGAAGAAAGGCAACTTGTTTCAATATTTATGGATGTGGTCAAACATTAAATCCTCCCACTCTTTCCAAAAGCCGTGACAGTATGCGTGCACACGCACCGACTGACGGTTAAAAAGTAAAAGAAAACCCCACACTGCTTGGTCAGATCAAGTAATGGAGTTTATTGATATTGGTGGATAAAGTTTATTGATATAACAGATTGAAAGTAATGATGTTGGTTGTAGAACAAAACCGAGACACAGTTTGGAGTTCCTCCAGTCGCCTGGTTCAAATAGCATTAAACTGTTGATTTTTTCGTTTGTTTTTAGAAGATATGACAAACAGACTTTGTTGGGATTGGAAGAAGATGGGACACGAGGGAGAGTTGCTCAGGAAAACAACACCCTATTGGATAAAATAAATAGATTTGTGTGTTCAAGCGTGGCTTTAAAAACGAGGACAAACAGTGGAAGGTCCAGATTTGACAGCGATAAAATATCTCAGCTAACCTTGTTGATGGTAAATATTTCCACTAAAAGTGGCATTATTTGTATGCTGCCTTATGAAAACGCTTAATGGCACGCAGTGAGGCTGAGACGGAGGAATGTGTTTGTTTTACACTTCTTTCCATGCACTCCCTGGGTCTGGCAGTACTATTGTGATGATAGTTTTCTAAACTGAGGACCTTGAAATGGTTGGCAGAGAAAAAATAAACTTACAGGAACGTTTCCCTTTTTGGAAAAAAAGCAAATACATCGTGTCTTAATATTAGATTTCTATTTTGCTACAAGAAGGTAAACGGATGGGTTGGAAAAAGGAAAACCTTATATAACTGTGTAGTTTGAGCTGATTGTGGGTGTCCAATGAATGAATACTGATCCTTATTTTATTTTTATTTTTTTTAATGGATTAGTGCTTAAAAAGACTATTTTTCCAAAGGTTTCATAATCTCATAGAGCAGCTTTGACTTGGGTGGTAAAGGGGAACTTCTACTAATCGGAAGGTGAGTGGTTGATCCCGGCTTTTCCTGTCCACATCCCGAAATGTCCTTGTGCAAGACTGAACCCGAACGCCTCTGTAATGCCAACAAAACCAGGCTGTTTACCATAAATACCAGGCAATAACTCCAGGACTCCAGGGCTCATTCGGCTGAAGGACTGATGAGCTCATGCCATGGTGAGGCATCAGACATCCATCTGTCTTTCTGCAGTTTTTTCTGCAGTATTGGTCAGAATCAAACTTACCAACAATGATTGACCAATGGGTCTTCACCCAAATGAAGCTCAAGGTCACATGTCACACACACACACACACTTTCCCAGTATTGGTTTGCTTGTGTCCCCCTTTGATGGCATTTTTACCATAATTAATGACTTTAGGGTTGGTTGAGAGCTAAGGCTGAGGTGTAGGTGTAGTATTGAGTCCTGGCAATACTGACTGTAACAGGGCAACGAGCTGGTTTGTCAATCCATTATGACCAGTGTAACTTCAGGTTTCAGTGTTCACAGTATGATGGTGACAGATTTTCCCCACCCTCTGCATTTTAGATGATAAACCTACTAAATAATCAGGCAGTCCTTGTGTTTTGTACACAGGTCATTAAATAACACTGAACAATCCAGCAGCCAATGAAATTAAATGTGCTGGTGGAGCTGTACCATAATTTCCAGTTCTAATGATGGTTAATGGCCTAATTGCAGGTATCTGGCATAGATGCTCACTGCTGACTGGATCTTCTGTAATTGTACTAAAGTGGAAAGTACAGTGTTTAAATGCATAGCAACTACTACACATGCTTCAAACCCCTCCATTCTCTCTAATTCAATAAGATCTAGAGGCCTCTATACGGCGGATGTGTTAAAAAAATTTGCCGTTCACTCCCTGATTCACACCTCAGGGAGTACATCTGTACACTCAATTAAGACTCCTGACCTCAAAACACTCTGATTCACTTGATAAACCAGATTAACTGTGTTGTTGCTTAATAAGAAGGACCCACAGGTAGAGTGCTCTGCTCTAAACCAAAAAAGGTGTGTGATTAAAAACAACAACAACTGATAACTCAGCTCAGTCTCAATCTTTTGCTGGGGTGTTTTCCTCCAGTAGGCCGGCAGCGAATGACACAGGCAGGTAAGTTTTCTAGGATAAAGAAGGAGAAGGCAGGTGAGTATAGATGCAAGGATTGGTAACACCTAAGCACCTCTACCACACTATATTACTTCTACCACAGTATGTTAACAATCTGATGACAAGTGCAGAGAAGAGCCAGGAGGAGGAAGCACAGTTAGTGAAACAATCACACACCCACACGATAAAGAGAAGCTAGACCAAAGGGCGGAGAACAGACAGAAATCAGGCCAACACCTAAAGGCACAGGAGACCACAACAAATTTGCCCTGGATATAAAATTGGATTAAAATATTTATCCTAAATTGTTGTTGAACGACTTTTTTTTCAGTCAAGCAAAACCACCTTTTTAAAGGTGGCACTTAAAATTTTTCTAAACTAATGATTAGCCAAAGATCAGGGAAAAAGTAACCTAGTTAACTGGTATTCACAGTCCCTCTCTACTGTCATTAAGTAAGATCTGCTCTGCAGTCTTTTAAATCAATTTTCCGTATTTGAGCTGTTCTGCTCGATATCTGTGTGACTAAAGCCGTGCGTCAACACAGGATGATAAGGGTTACACAAAGAGAACTGAACAGCGCTGTTGAAGGACATCAACCCAGCAGCAGGACTACTATCTGCTCCTTTGTTTGCGGAGGAACAGGAGGAGAAGCACTGCCTGAGCCCTACAAAATGACCTCCAGCAGGGTACCCGTGCATGTCTCTGACCAAACCTAAGCTAACCTAGTCAGGTTAACTTTGACTGGCCTCTCTGTAGAACGTCTGTGGGATATGTCTCCTCAGATGATCACTGAGCCACTCCCAAACTGGTCATGATGTTGCAGATTTGTTCACACCTGTCACAGGTGCTCAGTGTAAACCTGTGAAGAGAACAGGGTGCCAGTGGTGGACCTGCCAGTTCAATTGCACAGTGCTGGGATGCGAGCAACATAATCGTTGTGCCCTTGTGACACCTTCATGGACTCTGTTTCTTTCAGTGCTCCTCCAGTTTATTGCTCAAAGGAGCAGACACTGGTGCTACTGCTGGGTTTATATCCTTCTACCCTCCCTGTCCATTTCTTCTCCTCTATCTGTCTTATTCTTACCCCTGTTAGCACTTTAATTTGCACCAAAACAAGCGAAATAGATTCACAGTGGTTTTCACTTCCTTAAATGAACAGACTGATATCCCTGAAGTTTCGCTGACTTTGTGTTTTACTGCGATGAACAAATATTCCTGTAATGTTTTTGAGCAGAGTAGTTCTCAAATGCAGCTCCGGTTCTTTCAGCTACCTGCTTATGTTTGCCCAGCCTGCCGGTAGACAGTGTTACATAACCTGTGTGTGTGTGTGTGTGTGTGTGTGTGTGTGTGTGTGTGTGTGTTAGTACATAATGCTGTGCATGTGTGATGTATCTTCTCTTATGAGCCAAACTGACCATTTCCAGAGATGACACACTGTCCAGGAATAACATCTCTTTTTAATCTCTAACGTTTCACCACCATTACACACACACACACACACTGTTCAGTTGGTTTTGCAGCATGTTCACTTGGAAATCTGACTAACTGGTTACTGTACAGCCAGAGCCCCGACTCCTCTTCCCCTCACAGACTGCCTCCTCAATTGCGGCTTGTTCAGTGAGTTTGTGTGGAGGAGGAAGGGGGTGGGTGGGGGTTCAGAGGAATGGCTTGTGTGTGGGGAAAAGAGGGGTCTCTGTTGAGTGTGTTTGTGTGGACTCTATAGCAAGATTAAAGATGTGTACGTGAACTTATTGATGAAAGTGTGTTTTGCTGCTGTGTTTACACCAATGGGGCCCTGCTGCCTGTCATACAGTGGTGAGTATATACCAGAGAAGTTCAGGAGAAGATGATGAAAAAAGGAAATCTGATTTACCTTTACTTTCATTGTGTGTTTGTGTTTGATCTGTCTTATTATAAAACTGATTTTAAGGTAAAAAAGCTTCAGAAGGTTTTTTTAAAATGTGAAGCAAGGAGATTGAGAATGACACTGAATACTGAAACTCAGAAACCAGGAAATGGATTGTATACCTACAATTTAAAATTTATAGACAAATGCGCACACACACGCAGCTCAACGTGTAGAGCAGCAGGAACACTGTAGGCTGTGTATGGCGGCTCTGCTTCACTTCCGCACCATAAATGTGTGTTTGCTATACGAGGGAACACGGATAGAAAAGGGGAATTCATGTCGGTGTTTATTTGAGCTTTGGCCAAATCCAACCTGGGGCAGCAGCACTGGCGCGAGCTCTGCACCAAACCCCAGCCGCTCCTGTACCCCCAGCCAGACACGTACATACTGTAACCCACTGGGGGACCGGTGCGCACACACAACAAAAATTTACCACCTTCACATACACACTTACCTGTCCATCCTAACCATATCAAGGTGTGTTTGTCTTTCCCTGCCCACCGTTTTAGGTCCTCCCAGAGCAGGTATTTCCTTCTCTTTCCCACAGACGCACACTCATCCGTGCACACACTGCAGCTTTAGAGGGGGGTTGTCTGTGGGCTGAGTGTGTGAAGCTCGTGCATTGATAACCTGCAGCTCAGAGTCGCTTGGTCTCACTTTGTGGCCGTGCCCATCGCTTGGAGCTGCGCTTCGCTTTCTTTTCTGCTTCCCAACTCTAGGACCGTCTGCGGCCGCGCTCGGACCCCCCGCCTTTGTCACCATGACGCCCATCCAGCCGTTGTTCTTGCTGTTGCTTGGCCTAATAGGAGCCCAAGCTAACTTAGACCTTCGCACAGCCGCCGCCATGGGTAAGAATAATGACCTTTAACCCCTAAAGCCTGAGTCTTAACTCCTGTTGATTGTGTGATGCTTTGCTTCTAACACCCGTTTGCCTTTTATCATCATAAAAGTGAACTCATAGAGCAGAAAAACCTCACACAGCTTTTAAAAAGCGAGCATTAGTCTGGTCTCAACAGGTGAGAAATATTGCTCTGATCATCAGTTTGCCTTTTAGGTGAAGGACATAACTTTTTATCTTTGAGTGGTAAGAATCTTTTTGTGTGTTGTGTATGAATAGGCTGGATGAGATGCTGTACCATCATATATTTTTGGGGGAAAAAGGGAAAAAGATTCATATTTTCTTTGTGGACACTAACTTTCTGTATATATCATAGCCATTTAAGAATGATAAGTAAGGGACTGGGAGAAAAGGTAAATGGACTGGTTCTTATAGCACTTCTTTTTTTACATGCTTCCTATTCAACATTCACACACATTCACACTCTGATGGATACATCAGAGCAACTTGGGGTTGGTATTGTGCCCAAGGACATTTGGCATGCAGACTGGAGCAGCCTAAGATCAAAAGACCAACCTCACAAGTAGAAGATGACCTGCTCTACCTCCTGATTAGTGGATGATGTTCTCTGCCACCTAAAAAAAAAAGAGGTTATGATGTTCTTTCGAGTGGTTAAATTGCATAAGCACATTTTGGATGATTGTTTTGTTTAGGATGGAGTGTGGCCGTTGCTGTTTCTTGCATGTCAAAGATTGAGAGGAGGTGTACAGAAGGAGAAGGGGGAGGAGGGAGGGAGAGAGGTGAAGGGCGAGGAGGGAGATCAGTGATATGCAGTAGACGCTGGCTGCAGTTTGCTTAATGATGCCAAAATGCCCGCGTTTACACTGAAAATGCTACGGGCCACCAGCTGTATCACTGTAGCAAAGCTTAATTTCATCACACCTTTTCTAAAAAAAATCTGTCAAAGTCCATGTTTTTTTTGTGAAAATGTAACAACATCTCACGCCTTTTCTTGGTGGAATCTAATTATGGAATAATTATTGATATATTCATGCAAGAGATACCCAACAAGCTTTCTGAAAATACTCAAAGCGGGTCAGTGGCTGTTTTTGTGTCCTCTCTCCATCGCAGTACTTTCACCTTTCCCTCTCTCCACCCTTGCTGCCTCTGTGCGTCCTGTTTCCAGCCCTTCCTCTCATATACATCTCACCACTCTCCATCACCTCTGCCCTCCCCTTTTCCTCTCAACAGCCCTTCTCTCTATGCTCCACCCACATCTCCTCTGACTTTCATGATCTCCATCCATCATCATGTGGAATTATGGAATGAGGAATAATTTATAACTTTATAAAATGAATATGAGATTACGGTGACATCTGAGTTGCTTTTCTCTTCACATGTAGCGGCAGGTTTGTGCAAAGCCCGTCCCACCGACCTCGTGTTCATCATCGACAGCAGTCGCAGTGTTCGCCCCTCAGAGTTTGAGCAAGTTAAAGTCTTCCTGGCAAAAGTCATCGAGGGGCTGAATGTTGGACCCAGCGCCACTCGTGTGGGAGTTGTCAACTATGCCAGCCGCGTTAAGAATGAGGTTTGGATAAAGTTCAAAAAACGATTTCCGACATTTCTGATTTGTTTTCTCTCATTTCGATCTCACTCACTGCGCTGTTGTGGAACTGTAGGTGTCTCTGAAGACCCACCGCACCAAAGCCGGGCTGATCAAGGCTGTGACCAAAATTGAGCCGCTGTCCACCGGAACCATGACTGGCCTGGCCATCCAGTTTGCAATGAATGTTGCCTTCAGTGAGGCCGAGGGCGCTCGTGCAAAATCTTCTGACGTCGGCAAGGTCTGCCACACGTTTAGATGCATTTGCACGTGAAATTCACCTCTTCCATAACCGCAATGGTAATTTTATAATCTATTTTGAACCCTCACTGTCACAGGTTGCCATTATTGTGACAGATGGGCGTCCCCAGGACAATGTAAAGGATATAGCTCAACGTGCACGAGACGCCGGCATTGAGATCTTTGCCATCGGTGTGGGACGCGTGGACATGAACACTCTGAGGCAGATGGCCAGCGATCCTCTGGATGACCATGTGGACTATGTGGAGAGCTACAGCGTTATCGAGAAGCTCACCAAGAAGTTCCAGGAGGCCTTTTGTGGTAAGAGGGGGAGAAGAAAGAGATGAGAGAAGGATTAGAGATGTACTGTAGGAGGTATAGATACAGCAGCAAGAAAGAGGGATTCATTATATGCACACCTTCATTCCTGTGGAGAGAGCTGTCTGCTGCTCCCCTGTACTGAGGGTAAGGTGTCTGGACTGTCATCCTTTTCATTCCAATTTATTCTTCTCTCCCTTTTGTCCTCTGCTCGTCCTCGACAAGATTACAATGTATTCATTCAGTCCTTCAAACTCATTTAAAATTCCCCACAGCACGAGGGCATTAGGGTAGAAACAACCTTTTGGAATGAGATTTAGTCCTGTTCTTCAGTCAACTCTCACATAACCGAGAGGCGAGACTGATCTATCTGTAATTACCAATCCATTAGTGCCAATCATTAAGCCTCTAATTAGTGATGCCCTTCGGCGCTCCCAGTCTGCGGCAGCTTCGACTGCTGTTTGCTTCTCGCTTTGCGGCAGCCAGCATCGCTGCACGTGCAGATGATGAGAGCAGCATTATCATAGTGTTGAGGGGGAGCCTGTGCATCACGTTGAAAAATCCTCCAGAAAACTGGATTTTATTAGCTTAAGGCTGCTCCGATCTTTTCCTCCTTTTGCTTTAAGGCTCCACTGGATTTTTGCATCATCTACATATATTCAAACCTGTTCAGGTCAACTGCAGGTCACAGTGGATCATTAAAAAAATCCATGCTAGAATTTCCCATTTTCAAACTGACATAGTTTTATTTCTCCCTCTAACCCTACCTGCCTGCCCCCTCTTATGTGTGTGTGTGTGTGTGTGTATTGTGCATGTAAGAAGACCTAGTGTCTGACCTGTGTGCCACTGGGGATCATGACTGTGAGCAGGTATGCATCAGCACCCCAGGATCATACAAGTGTGCCTGCAGAGAAGGTTTTACCCTCATGGACAATGGTCGTAGCTGCAGTGGTGAGTGGGTGTTTGTCTCTGAAGGTATGTGTCCAATTATGATTAAATATCCTCTGACATTAACATGCCCCGTGTGTGTCCGTGTGTGTATGTTTTGTTTTTCACCAGCTTGCAGCAACTCCGCAACAGATGTTGTGTTTCTGATCGATGGCTCTAAGAGCGTGCGTCCCGAGAACTTTGAGCTGGTCAAGAAATGGATCAACCAGATCATCGACAAACTGGACGTCAGTGAAACTAAGGCTCATGTGGGACTGGTGCAGTACTCCAGCACAGTCAAACCGGTATGAGTCAGTTTTTTCTTTTTTTATATTAGAGTAAGCATTTTCACTTCCACCCTCATCATCATCCTAATTCTGCTCCACCGCAGGAGTTTCCCTTGGGCCGCTACAACAACAAGAAGGACCTCAAAGAAGCTGTGAAAAAGATGGACTACCTGGAGAGGGGAACCATGACAGGCCAGGCTCTCCGTTATTTGGTAGAAAACAGTTTCAGCTTTGGTCAGGGTGCCCGGCCTGGAGTCACAAAGGTGGGCATCGTCTTCACCGATGGGCGTAGTCAGGACTACATTGGAGAGGCTGCCAAGAAGGCCAAGGAAAACGGTTAGAGGGAGTGGGAAGGTTACGTCTAAAGCAGACTAAAAATATATACTTATGTGAATCAGATGAAGGAACGAGCGCGTTCATTGCAGGCTTTAAGATGTATGCTGTCGGAGTGGGCAATGCAGTTGAGGACGAGCTGAAAGAGATTGCCTCTGAGCCAACCGGAGAGCACTACTTCTACACCGCCGATTTCAAGGCCATGAGCCAGATTGCCAAGAAGCTACAGATTAACGTCTGTGATGGTGAGAAGTTTAAAACAAATGTGTTGTTATACTTCACAAATCACACAAATCTTTAACCTGTGTGTGTTCTCGGCTCCACAGATGACCCTTGTGAATGCGACTCCCTTGTAAAGTTCCAAAAGAAAGTTGAAGCTGCCCTACAGGCACTAACAAGAAAACATATCCTTTATGACAGGTGACACTGTCTGAGGATATTATTTTGGGAGGGAGTGTGTTAAAGTTGTTTTCGCACTGTGTGATTTATTGACTGCCTTCACAGTTTCTCTCCTTGACAGAATCTTACTAGAGAGCATGTCGAAGAGGATCGCTTTGCTGGAGAACAAAATCGTCTAAGGACTCGTATCCCATTACTCACATGCACCCATGTACAAATACAAACACACACACACAAAATTTACTTCCTGTAAAATATTGAAGACACACCCCTCTCCATATCAATGTGTGTGCGTGTGATAATCCAGACCTTGGCTCTCTCCTACCCCTCCAAACCACCTCTTGTTTTTCTACACTTCTGCTCTTGTCTCTTCTACCCTTGGGACACAAACGTTGGTTACCACATGAACATGCCTCTGTGTGTGTGTTTGTGTGTGTGTTTGTGTGTGTATGTGCCCTGAAGGTCATCCTCCAAAGCCAGCCTGTGTGTTTGCTAATAAAAGTCTTCCCTCATAGGGAAACGGTGATGGAACGCTGAAGGGTTTTTCTTTGTTGCTGCCACAGTGTTGACGTTCCTGAAACCCCAGAGAGTGTGTGTCTTGTCATGTCAAACGAAGCAGCACATCACCTTCACTTGTTTGTCTGTTTATATGTCACTGTCATATTTCCCTATTCCTTCATCTTCTTCATTTTTTTTCTCCTATCATCCTCACAAAAGTTATCTTGCATTGTATATGATATATACAGGTAAATTAATATAAGATATGTCTGATACTAAGGACACATCATTGATTTCTTTTTATTTTCCTAAATAAAGGTGATTCAGGAAGTAAACAGAAAATTGTGAAACCATTATATCCCACTCTAGAATTACACATGCACATGTGGAAAAACCCAGAGGTTCCACAACATGGTTTCCAGAGGACCAGAATGACTGGGTTGATATTTCCAGCAGGTCTGCCACACATTAGCTCAGCGACCTGATTCAGCACACAGACATTTTAGGTACTTCCCAGGTGGCAATGTCCAATACAAAGTCCGAGCTGTTTGCGGTAAAGTGCTGGGTTCTTGTATAATTAAAGGATTGCTGCAGTTGTGAAGGTAACAGAATGACATCAGTTAATCTACTATCTAATTTCAGTGATTTTGACTAAATGATAAAAGTAATTATATCATCATCATGCATATTAACACTGACTGGTGTCTGTTTCACATTAAATATTAAACTTAAGCTTTTTCATTTTTGTAATATCAGTAATTTTATGACCTTGCTCAAGGCTTTGGTAATTGATGGGAAATGTGTAAGTTTACAGCTTGCATAATTACTAAACACAAAATACTATCCAGGTAAAAAGACTAATTGGGATCAATAATGTCTTTTTCAAAAGAGATCTAGCCAAGAAGGCAGCAGAAATTGCAGAAAAGTATAATATAATAGTTCTACAGATATACTATGTGTCCAAAAAAAGACTGGAGTGATTACAGTGTAGAACACAGAGTGGGTACAATAAAGCAGAGTTATAAGAATACTTTCGAAACAGGTTATTTCTTTATTTTATTTATATCCCTTCATGTATCATCTTGACTACAACCTGTTTATCAGTACGAGCAAAGGCATTAGGAATAAAATTAAAAAAAAAAAAAACCCGCCTGAAACGAACACATGCTCACTTTGTAGAGAAAAGAGAAAACGGACACTTATGGATACACTGTTACTGTTGGTAACATTTAAAGAGACAACAGCCGCCTGCTGTTTATCACAGGAAAGTTGCGCATACGTCACGATGACGTTGCACCGGGGAAGCTCGCCAAGATCTGAGCGGAAGGAGCGTGTGAAAACTCTACATTATTCCCGGTGCCTTACGCAAGATAGTTTTAAGTTTAACTCGGCATTGTGTCCACGATGCCCAGTCCAAATATAAATCAGCGGCTCGCGTTGTTTTCATTACCGGAAATCGTCATAGCTGCGGCTGAAAGAGCAGCATCTGCTAACAGCAGTGAGCTAGCGTAGCGAGCTAACCGCCGGCAGCCGGCGTTCACGGTCAGGAAGCCGGGTGGGAAAAAAAGGTGGCGCTCTCTGAAGGTGGTTCGTCGGTGTTAATGATTTGCGAAGCAGACGATTGCGCAGTAAAAAATAAGAAGACCGGCGGCAGATACCTCGAGGTTGTGTCAGTGAAGAAGAATAAATGTTTTCAGCTAACGTTAAGGGTTAGCGTTAAGTTAATACTTTAGGCTAACTGCTGCTCGGTAACGACAGGCAGCTCAGCTCTACCAAGGTGCTCCAGGACATGGCCAGTAATCCCGCGGCTACCTGCCAGGCTAATGGAGACAGCAAGCCGGGAGGAGTGCCCGCCGCTCGGCGTTCGTGTGGCCACCGGTCCGAGTCTGAATCCGATGCTGGACCGATTTCGAAGAGCTTAGCGCGACTGTGCAGCAGGGATGACGGGGAGCGGAGAGCGGCTCTGGAGGAGTTAAGCCAGGGGGTTCTCCAGTGTTTAGACCTGGACCGGCACGGCTCGGAGCGACTGCGTAAACAAACTCTTCTGCATCTGCTCCGGCTGTCCAGGTCGTGTCCGCTGCAGGAAGTACGGGAGAGAGCCGTCGAGCTCCTGCGGACCGCACAGGTAATGCATGCACAATTCACCGACAGGCTTCCCCTTCTTCTGTGAGGTTTGCAGGCCGCATTAACTGACAGATAGGGGGAAAAAATCTTACTCCAATAGCGCTCAGGCACCGTTTGTACCATTAAAGGACTTTTAGGTACTTTCAGGAGGACTGCTTTTGCTTTGCATGATGACGTTATAAGGTTAGGTAAGGGTAGGTTTACCTCTCTCATCAGCTGATGGTGATTTTTATTGCTACCGGACTGCTGCTGGTTTCATCAGACTGTAGGTGATGCAAGACTCTGCAGCGGTGTGCACAAACAACCGGGCCGGACACGCCCCCTCCCGGTGCCTGAAAAACACACCACCAGCAGACACACCCCCGACTGCTTTCACGGCCCAGTGTAGCTTCTAGAAATTAAAAAGGCAGGCTGCTTTAGACGCCTTTCATTTGTGTTTGTGTTGAAAATAACAAACAGGGCAACGTTTAGCGTCCGAGCTTCCGATGTCAGTGAGTTTTAACGCGTGTTTTGGTTAAACGTGGAAGTTTGAAGCGTGCTAGTTACGAAACGGGTGTCCTGTTACGGTTCAAAGAAGGTCTAGGCAAGCTAAATGAGGCTGAGGCGTTGTTAAGCTGAACATATTTCATATAAGCATATCAGCGATTTGGATAAATGTAAATATTTAAAATGGTAAACTTTTTCTGTGCATGGAAAAAGTCTGAAAATGTATTTTTTCGCGTGTCAGTCACAGAAACGAACTGCGTTTGAGGTTGATTTCCGTAGACAAGATGAATCCTTTAGGGTTGATTGGAATCTTGACTGAAATTTTGATAAACCAGAGCAATAATCAAGTACAAACTGAATGATAATTACGTGTTGTTTTTGTCTTCTTTTGTTGCCAGGAGCAAGGAGTCCAGGTACCTCGGGCTCTGGCCTCAGGTCCAAGTGCCTTTATCCCTGCAAAAGAGGTGTGTATGCAACTTAATAAAAAAGAATGTGTTTCCGGAATACTAAAGTATGTTTTTGCTATTCCCATTGTTTGTGTGTCAGACTTGCACCCTGTCCAGATGCCAGATTGCTTTTCCCCCCTCAGGTTGATGTCAGAGTGGCACACAGCTGGCCTTCATGTCTAATCCTGTGATTTTACAGGGCTTGTTTCAGGCTGCTAACATAATGAACTAACAGCTGTTACTTTGAACTTAATCTTTTCATATAAATATAATTGAAATGTTCTAAACTTAAATATATTTGAATCTCCATTGGCCTACATTTTTTTCCCACAGGGTTTTTTATGTAAGTTTATTTTTAAATTATTTTCCGTTTTAGAAACGGACATATGTAATGACTTAACAGACATGCTCATTAAAATGATGCTATTTATTCTGCTGCAATACTACACTGCCTGTTGCATTCAACAGATGCAACACCCGAGCTGAGTTGCCAAAGCTAGTGGCTAATAATGTCTTAGCTCATAATGTGACTCATTCAGATTTCTTTTTCTTTTCTTTTTCATAAAGAAGAAGAAACCTTAATTAAGTTTACTCAGGATTCAGTTATGTTTTGTTTTCTTTCCTCTTTAGATTTTAAAAGAAGGGCCAAACCAGGATGTCCTGATTGAGTCTTTTCTTTCGCTGGGGCGTGTGGATCACATCTCCATGGTCATGGCGATGCACCCAGCCTACCTCTGCTGCTTCCTAAAGACCCAGCATGCTTTGTTGGAGATGGACGGCCCCTTGCCCCGTCAGTGGAGACACTATATTGCTGTCATGGTAAGAAAAATGTTTTTTAGCCGGTGACATCCTGATCCTGATGTATCCTCCAACTTTAATTACCTTTCAGCAGAAAGCTGACAAATTGCTTCGAATGGGGTTTTGTCGTAATTTGAACTGTTTGTAAAACACTATTCAGCCTCCTTTAAGGTCTTTTGTAGGAGAAATGTGAAATAGTATATGTAGTTCCTTAAAAAGAAATCATATGTAGTGTGTACTGCAGCCATGTGCATGGTGAACCAAATAAAGAAATAACAATTGTGAACATCAAAGTAAATTCTCACTCTCAAACAGACGAGATTGTTGTTTTAGATTTTTTTTCCCGTCGGAGTAGTTCTGACACTTGAGGTTAAATCGTTTTGTCAAAGACGATTATTGATACAAAATGATTATAGTTCTTTGGTCTCCATTTAATCTTTTCTACTGTTCAAACAAAATCTTAGAGTAGATATTATTTGAGTAACATCCCAACTGTTCAAGTAACAGACTGTGGGTGAGTTTGGGGGTTTGGGGGGGGGGGGGGAATGGACAGCTGCTCTAGGGGGTACTTGTGTCTATTCTTCTGTCGTCACTGGTCTTAAGTATTGCTGTAATAAAGTTATATATATAGTTTTTAAACACCAGAACCTTTAATTGGCCTGATGTACTAGTTAGACAGAGCAGTGGGTAATATTGGTGGACTTGATGTGTGATGTTTGGTACGGGTTCTGAGCATTGATGAGTGCAAATGCTATGGAAACACACTTATGTGTTGTCTGACGGCAATGCCTGTGTGTGCAGGTAGAAGGCTCAGGTCCTTTGTTGTCCTCTGTCTTCTCGCCGGGCCCTTAGAAGTCTGACTTAGAGCATTACAATAGCAAGCACTGATGTTAATGGTCCGTTTTCAGTAGGGATCGAATGAAATATAAACACAGCAATAAAAACTGTATTGCTTCCTCCTGCTAGAGCAATAAACTGGTGCTAAATACTGACATTGTTATTAAATGCTGCAGGCGTTCTAAACAGTTCTAAACCACCACATGTTTGACTTTCCAGAATTTCTGCTTCATGGCTTCTTGTCGTGGCACGTAGTAATGTGTAGAGAAAAGCGAAACAAAAACAAATGAGAACGTTAACTAAGTCAAAATACCAGATTAAAGTGGATTATCACATAATTCCTGCTTTTTTGCTTTTTACCCCTCAGTCATAAAAGGCTGATGGGGGTATTGTCGTCACCCCACTGAACGGGCAGCTATGTGGACACCCAAGATTGTAAACGTTAAGAACGAAGTGACGAAGGAGTTTCAAATTGATACCATAGGTGTGTCTAAACATCTCTGAAGAGTTTGAATC